AGCCCTGGAAGGCAACTCCTGAAGCAAAATGCAGTATTTTGGATCAGAAGCCAAAAGCACTGGACCAAAACACAACCCTAGCAAGAAGTTAGATAGCACATACAAAGTTGGGACTGGATCAGACCAGTCAGATTAACCCCTTCAGACTCATGAAAATGGCAAAAAATCTTTAAGGATGACAGATGGTATGAGATTGGGGTTTAAACTGTGTCCAAAAGGTAACAGTGGCAAAGGGCTCTTTCAGTATCAGTGATACTCCTTGTGGCTGGGACAATACGAGTTCACCTTTTAGGATCAATATGAATTAGCCTATACGTGCTGCCTTTTGGTTTCTCCCCGACTCATGGATACTTTTCCTCCTGAAGAGAAGGAATAGTGGGAAAAAACAAGGTCCAGCCTCTTCTCTGATTTCTAACCTGTGTTGAAAGACTATCCTCCTGACTCTCCCTAGTCCCCATGTTATACTTAATCTTTTTCAAGTCCAGCACTGAAAAACTAGACTGTAGTCTTTCCACCTGCTGCTCTCTTCTGCCCCAGTAGCTGTTATTGGTTGCAGCTGGTTGTAATTGTCTTTTTGGTTATAGCTGGGGAAATAATTAAATCCGCCACTAATCTTTTTTTGGGTAGTTGTCTTAAGAGGGAGCTCTCCTATCAGGTCAGCCCTACAGTATTTAAAATGTGTCTCTGCTTCTTTTTAACTGTCACCTGATGGGATCACAGCACACATTGGTAGGTTCTTTCCAAATTAAAAGAATTGTTTGAAATGGAGACCAATTAGTGACTCAAGGTTAATTTCCAACATAAAATCAAGTCATGCTTACAACTAATCCCGAACTGACAAGCTTTCAGACAGGAGGTCAAAGCTGAGGGGTGAAGGATGTGTCTCCAAGGAAGATGAATCAAGATCTTTGTCCTCTCAGTGACTTTATACCACAGCCAGGCGATTCACGCATCAGACGGAACGGGAAGAAGAGATGGGGTCTGGTTTTGGAAAAGACAATGAAAGAAGTTGTTAGGAAACTGACAGGATCAGAGGAAAGAAAACAAATCACTGTTAAGAGAGCGCAAGAGAGTAGAGCTGACTGGGCTGCTGCTCCTTCTCCCCACCAGCCAGCACTAGCTCAACTTTTTGGACTTTCTTCTTTATGTGCTCCACGAGTAGAATACTTTCCCCTCACAGTGACCATAATCCTCACAGGATCCAGGAGGCCTGGGCCAATGATGCAGTGAACGCCGTAACTCTTGCCTAGGCACAGCTACACGGGTTTCCACAGAGACCACCAGCCACCTGCCCCATCAGAGCCGCGGCAGTTAGATACCAGGACCTGTGCTCTCCTCCCAGCTTTCAGTCTAAGCAAATTTCTCTCCCTAAGCCAATAGAGAAGGCCTGGTTTTACGAAAGTACGTAGTGATCTATGCTGTGCTTCACCTGCGCGCCGGCGGCCCCGCC